AGGGGTTTTGTCTCAGTATGAAGAGTGTTCTGCAGATGCTTCTTTTGCTCCTGCTAACTCATACAGTTACCAAACAGATGATGGATCATCTTCCTATGGATTGAGACCTAACGACTTTGCAATGATGTCTGCACTCAGGGACTCTTTTGCTCTTCAGACTGAAGGTCCTGGCAGTGGTATCAGTGAATGGCTGAGTGAGGTCAAACGATCTGCTTCTGCCAGTAATTCAGCTGGTGGGGCCTCCTCCTATGAGACAAATCCAGTGAGAGAGTACTCAGCAGGATATATGACCAACGACGTGCAAGGAAGTAAGCTCCCTGATGACAGAGTCTCATACGGTGGGGCAAGTACAAATTGGAGGAATCAACAAATGTGTACAAAAGCAAGGAGTAGAAGTGATCAAGGATTACCCTACCCCAATTCTGCTTCATATTTTCCTTCTGGAAGATATTCCACAAACTATCCTTTACACAGCTGTTCCTCTTGCAAGAATGAAGAGTGTGTGAATAGCTGTACTACTGTAAATGCTGCTGTTTCAGGAAGAAGCGGCTTGAGGTGGAACGAGGACTTGAGGTGTCAAGGTTTCAGGCATCAGAAGTCAGGCTACAAGAGTGATTGGAGTTCACATCAGTACTCATTTTCTGGCAGTGGTTTGCACAGAGATTACCAGCAATTTAGAAGCTCAGATAAGGTGTTTGATGAAGATGCTGTTGGTCTTACACTCACCATTTTGAATAGACTACAAGAAAGGGATATATCTCCAATGATCAGGATGCACAAACAGTTGAATCCTTATTATCCAGCACTTCAAAGTAAGACTGTGAATAGTTAGGTTGTAGGTTGTGATTAGTTCTCATGTAAAATGAGTTGCATCAGCATGGTTGCTTTAAGATAAGCAGGAGATTGTGTGTTGCAGAAATCACAGATCACAGAACAGTCAGGGTTGGAAAGAACAAAAAAAACCAAAACAAACCTTTTCATTGCTGTGTTGTTTTTCCTGTCACCCATACCTGAAATTCTTCTCTGCATTAAATACTTGTGTTAAACCAGGGTTAATCTTCATAAACTGTTACTTATCATTTTGCATTCACTGAAATAACTTTTTGGATCTTGTCAGGTAATTGTAACACAAAGGCAACAAATCAATTGATTATTGAACATATAAACTCAATTTCTGAAAATTCTTCTGAAATGATTGTTTGCGTATCAGAAAATATCCACTTTCTTCACATTCCTTTTTCATTCCTGTTCACTATTTCCTTTTCTACTCCTCATACTTATTGAAATTTTTAAGTAGTTTCTAATGGCATGGACTCAGTTGTGCCTCACACTTTTATCCATTGAATTACATAGTAGACCTTCTTGCTTAGAGGGACAAACATTGTTTTCTGCTACAGGTGTCTGCCAGAGTTTTGATTTAATACTCTATGGTACTGAGCAGCTCTTACTTATTTTAAAAAATACCATTAATTATTTCTACAAATGTTACTACTGTATTTTGTTTCCATATAAAGTATAGTGCAGCTAGAAGTCTGAAACTGTAGAAAAATACTACTAGAAGATATTACTGCTGCAGCTCTGTCAATTTAAGTTAAGACACTTTCATCTGAGGTTGCTGTAGGGAGCTCCTTTTTTCCATTTCTCATTTCCTGTGGGATTTTACTGCTGTGACTATATGTCCCAGTGGCATACAGCAGCTGGATGATCTCTGCCCTAATTAGATGCACTTTCCACCTACACATTCCCTTCTTACATTTTGTTCTGGGGAACAGTTCCTGTCCCTGCTCCTTTTGCGGGGTCCTGCACTGGGGAAATGGTTCTTGCATTTTGAAATGAAGTAGTGACCCAAGTTAACATAGGAATGGCATAGATTTCCTAAAGGTTTCCTGAGGTGTAGATAGCATTTGGAGTCTTGAAAATGCCCTTCACTTCTGTGTCAATTTACAGTTCTTACCAAAAGCAGTCCTTGAGATGATTGTTGTTCTTATGCACAAGCACTATCATGTGGGGAGGTTTTCTAAGCTGGTGGTATCTTGTAACAGGCACTCCAAGCCTTCCTTATCTCTTCTGTGCCATTACTACCAGCAGTGTTTTTCTCAGTTTGTATCAGTCACTTGGCTGACCCAGTTTCAGCTGCATCACTGCTTTCTTCTTAATTCTCTTTGTTGTCTTTCATATTTCCAAAGATCTCCCTGACTTTAGAAATTAAGAACTTAATTGTGCAACTTCTGTAGTGATACTGGCCTGGGGTCTGCCCCTTTGCAGTCCCAGGTTTGACTGACTTTTGGTCTGTAACTGTAACCTCCACAACTGATTTCAGAGACTGTTTTTTCCTCTGCCCCATACTTGTGAACAAGTAGAGCTGGCTTATGTCCGACAAGTAGCATCTTTGTTATCACAGGAACACATTTCTTCATGGAGGGCAGGAATTCAAATTCATAGAATTATAGAATGATGGCATAGCTTAGGTTGGAAGGGACCCTTAGAAGTCATCTAGTCCAGCCTTCCTGCAGTGAGCAGGGACATCTTCAACTAGATCAGGTTGCTCAGAGCCCTGTCCAACCTGACCTTAAATGTTTCCAGAGATGGGGCTCTAACACTTCTCTGGGCTATCTGTGCCATTGTTTCACCACTCTCATTAAAAAAAATTTCTTCCTTACATCTAGTCTGAATCTGCCTTTTAGTGTAAAATCATTAGCCCTTGTTCTGTCACTACAGGCCCTGCTAAAATGTTTGTTTCCATGTTTTTTTATGGGTGCCCTTTTAAGTACTGAAAGGCTGCAGTAAGGTTTCTCCAGAGCCTTCTTTTCTCCAGGATGAATGACCCCAGCTTTCTCAGCCTTTCTTCATAGGGGAGGTATTCCATCCCTATTAACAATTTTTATGGCCCTCTGCATCTGCTCCAACAGGTCCATATGGGCCTTTCCTGTGCCGGGGGCTCCAGAGCTGGACATAGTATTCCACATGGGGTCTCGCCAGATAAGAGGGGAGAACCATTGTTCCTTGACCTGCTGGCCACACTTCTTTTGATGCAGCCCAGGATACAGTTGGATTTCTGGGCTGTGAGCACACACTGCTGGCTCATGTCCAGATTTTTATCCACCAGTATCACCAAGATACCAATTTTCTACTACTCAAATGAAGGACAAAAAGAAATGGACAGAAGCATCTTCAGGGTTCAATTCTGCAAAAGGTTTGTTTGTTCACTCCTATCACAGGGTATAATGTTTTTCCAGGGCTGTGTAGAATTGAGTACCAGGCACTTGACTGGAAAAGGAGACATCCTTCACAGGAGACAAACTGGTAAATTTCCCAGGCTCTAGCTCTTCGTTTGGTACCTTGGGCTTATTAATGATCTTCAGAATGCTTCGTAGAGTTACAGCATTTCATCTGGGTCCAAAGGGATAGTGGGCTGGGAATTAGGAGGTTCTTTTGAATGGGGCCTTTTAATGGAGAAGCTCTCTTGAGCCCAAAATTTTGGGGCTCTTATTGTTTCTGAAGAGAACATATAGCGATTGTCTCAGCCTTCTGGGGAGGTAAGGTTCAAGCAGTAGCTGTCAAAGTCTTTTATCTCCTTGTAGGTTAATTTTTACAGTTCATCCAAGGCTGTTGAGTGAGTTAGTCTCAGACATCATTCATCATTCCTG